TCTTATAACACATGCTATGTTTGGATACTTATATCAATACTACTGCGACAACAAACCCGAACTCATTTCATACACACCAGGAGTGCCAGAATAGCACTGTCTTCGTGGCAATTGATGTCTCTATTGCTGGCATTCCTCTACAGCGGATCCATCTATAAGTCCATTACATTCCCCACTAAATTTAAAACAATTGATACGTTGCGAGAGTTATCAGTTCAACAAAAACACGGATCAATACAAGTGATGGGTATTGAATCCTCGGCTACATATCAACAGTTAAAGGTATTTGTACTATAATAGTAAGGATAGAAAATTAAATATTTGAAATACAATACAGAATATCAAAAGTGGTTATCAAAGAGATATCTATGAAATGATACATTTCGTAAAGACTGATGAGAAAGGTCTAGAAATTGTCATGAATTCCCAGCAATATTATAGTTTTATCGCTCCGAGAGATAAATTTGAGTTTGAGATTTACAAATATGGGAACGGGATATACCATTTGCCACTCAACACTATGGACTCAGCCTTTAATATGGCTCTCTTGGCTTTTTCTGTGAGGAAAGGCTTATATTTTAAACCAAATTTAAACAAATTGTATGTATTTTTATTAAAATAACTTTATCGTAAAAATATTCGGACGTAAAGTTTAAATAAAATACTGTAATATTTTGTTATAGAATCTCACATATAATACAAAGTGGATTAATAAGTCATTGGAAACAAATTGACACTCAAAATAAGTGCACAAATATTTATAAGAAAGAAGTTATTGTTGAGAGAATTGATTCAAAACATATGAGAAATTATTTTTATATCCTTTATATAGGATTTTTGCTGACAGTGTTATCATTAATAACAGAATGGTTTCTTAAAATATGTGTAATTTAATGAAAATATTTCATATTAACAAAATTCAGATGAATTCATTTAGTTGTTTTCATTAAACTCAAATACTTAAGTTTCAAATATTGTAATTTAAAATAAAAATATTCGACACTCATTTAATTAAGTTTACATTATAATATTGACATTGTTGTTATAATGTTGATATTTAAATTGTTTTACTTGTTTTATTTGTTTGCTTTATCACTAAATTATTTGCACGAATTATATTTCATATACTGTACAATAATATAAAACTTTTATCATAAACTATAGTTTAAATTAAGGATTATTATAATTAACTTCTGGCAATGTCAATATTTGATAAAAAATCAATAAATCCCAACGAATTTTAGATTATTAATAGAATTAGTAAATCTTTTGAGATTTAACCTATACTTTGCTCTCAATGTATAAATCAAATTGAATTAAATATTTTTTATTATACAATATATTAAATTTTCATTACTATTTTGACGTTAAGTCTCATAATCTAAATGTTTGCTTCAATCGATAGTCAATAAAGTATATTAAAGAATACAATAAGAAATTTATGAATCTCTTGAACAAAGTCCTATGACTACAATACTATCGATTTTAATGAATTTATTTATCAAATACAATCATCAGATGAATTATGTTTGCTTAAATTAGTAATAATTCAATCAAATAATTTCTAAAGGATTAGCAAGATAATTTAAATATAAATATAAATTTTAATTTTAAATGCATTAAAATAATTTATTATTAGTAACGTACCGTATACTACAGTATAAATTTATGTTTCAATCCTTGAGTTATTGACATTTCATTTGTTCATTGCTTTAATCTTATTCTTATAAATGTTTTTAGACATGAAATTGTAACAAAAATTATATTACTGTATATAATTTCAATTTAAATATATCTATCGGTATAAGATTAATAAAATCATTAAAATGACATTTAATTGAATGATTGCATGTCTTTAACCAAATATAAATAGATATTTAATTTCAAACTAATTCAGATATTTGAATTAAATTAAAAATTTTATACACAAACTTTTGTAAACAAAAAATATGAATATTAAAAACTTAATGCCAAATGTAAAATAAAATTATGAAATAATAGATCATGTTAAAATTTAAGTCCAGGGTATTAGTGATCCATAATTAAAGTAATAATATTAATAACTTATTTTAAAATGTTACATTTCAGATCTTGGTAAATTAATTCAACCTCATCGTCTGAACCCACATTCATTTGAATGAATGTCTTATTATTTTCTATCCATGAGTTGTACTCTTTTTCAACCGCGTATTTAGACAATGCACCAAGGACCTTTCGCACATCTAGATAATATTTACAAACCAATTAGTTTTATATATTAAACAAGTTTGATATATTATTTTTAAAATTTGATAATAATTCAACAACTGTCACAACTATAGTATATGCGAAATATATACACATTTTACATTATAATTGAAAATGTTATCATATAAGAAACAAAAAATATGATTTCAAACAAATAAAAAATTTTTATTCAGATTAATGTAAATGTTTTTGCTTTAAATTTCAAAAGTCCCTGAAGTGAAGCAAATAGAAGCATAGAATTCAATACTGTTTTCTAATTAAAGGGAGAAATTATAAATTTAAAGCCAATAATTTTGATTTAAAATTTATACAATATTATCACCACTTGTTCAGTATATTACAATAAGTCTTACCGTATACTTGATACCATATAATGTTGGCATTAAAACGCAATAACGAATACATTTGTTGAGAAATTTTATGTTTAACTTTATATATTGTATGAAAATGATCATCATTTTGCATTTTGATTATTTCAAACATTAATTCGTTAATTGGACCAAGGTCGGTTATATCTACAAACATACAAATGTGTTTAAGTTTGCACTTTGAAACTAAATAGTATTTCTTACCATTATTTATATTTCCATTATTCATATGAATTATATAAAACGGTTTGCTTTTAATAAATAGATTGTAAAATATTTTCAATTTTCTGTCAATCATAGCATCTAATAGTGAATTGAATTCTTTGTCTCCAATAATGGGTTTATTTGTCATAAATGTCTGCAATTGTGATAAAATGTGCGAACATTCGAATCTTTTCCTCCAATCTGTTGAACCGTTTTGTGAATTCATATTAACACTCATTGACACCAATAATTCATTCATTTTAAGCATCAATTCATTCGTATCTTTATTGTATATTATGTTTGTTTTAACCCTAAAATTAGATATATTATAATATTAATAAGAGTGATTAATAAATAAAGTTTTTATAGAAAAAATTATTTTAAAATCGATTCATACTTTCCGTCGATTATATCGTTTTTATCGAAACCAAAAATTTGAGCCCCAATTAGGGATAGACTGTAGATATCTATTAAATGGTTGTATTCATTAGTCATGGCTTCCGGTGCCATAAAGTCATCATCGCCAACATTCGCCGTATTTTTGGCTTTAGACATAAGAAACGGATCACAATTTGGGATCTCTTTAGACAAACCAAAGTCACATAATTTTATTTCTCCATACATTGAAATCAACACATTATCCGGTTTGAGGTCTCTATGAATGATATGCTTTTTGTGCAAATATTGCACACATTTTGTGAGTTTTCGAAATATATAATACGATATATAAAACTCAGAAATAATCATCAATTCATTAAACAGTGATTTCTTAGTTTCCAAAACATTGTTGAGATTATCGATACATAACTTGGAAGTGCGAGTAGTCTTTCCTCAGGTGCTCTCTTATGGTGACATTTGTATGGGAGACCGCCATATCGTACAGAGTCTTATTGCCAGAATGCTTCCAACCCTCGAATAGTAGCTCCAGATTCATCATATTGTCCACTATTACCAGAAACTCGTTGGGATTGGGGGTATCCCACGATTTGGTGCACCCGACATTGTCTTATTTGTTATAAATACATTTATTTAGACATTGTTTTTGTCAAAACAAATATTTTTTAAAACACTTACGATTAAAGCGTTTGGCAAAATGGTTGGCCGCGTTTACTATAATTTTCGGGTAATTAGGGTTTTTGGTGAACTCGTATCCATTGCCATAGGAGCCCATTATCATGAAGCCGATGTCGTGTTGCCATGTGTTGAACTGGTCGTTATACATGGCGTCGGTAGCAGTTGTGGCCAATTGTTTCCACTCATCACTCTTTGTATAGTTATAGAGATGCCAGAGAACCCCCGGATAAAAGCCGGCCGTCCACTGGTTGTCCACGGGTGGGGTTGTCTCCCAGTGGTCCGACCCTGTCTTACCTACTGCTGGGTATTGTACACCAGTTTTCAGTGTATTAATTAGTTTGTGGTACTGTTTGTCCGCGAAATCAACTAATTCTTTACGAGTTAGTCCGTAGACTATTGGCACTAATATGCAGAGGAATAATATTTTAATGGAAAACATTTTTGTGATATAATTCTTGTGGTAAGCAGTTACTAAATGTGTTTTTATATATACAGGTATTGTGTCATTATTTTAATCACTAAACTTATGATAATTCTCACACAAGTGTGCCAATGTCTACGCTATCAGTGCACTATTGAATAAACAACTATTTAGTTTCAGGAATAAGATTATTCAATAATGTATTATAAGATATTGAATACAATTAATCAGATTAAATTATAATATTTGAGAAATAGTCCAATTGTTGCTATCAGTGCACTATTGAATAAACAACTAATTAGTTTCAGGAATAAGATTATTCAATAATGTCTTATAAGATATTGAATACAATTAATCAGATTAAATTATAATATTTGAGAAATAGTCCAATTGTTATAATAATTATTAATATATTACTAATTGCTAAATAATTATTATACTGTACTGTATAAACTACAATCATTTCAGACCCGATTTGATCTTACTAGTAGGGATAGTAGATTTAATTTACTGAATATGCAATTGAAGTGGTTAGTTTATAATAAATTTATTTCAAACAAAAATTGATTAATTAATTGATTATATAATTAATTCAGATATTGAACGGCACTAATGAAGTAATAGTCGCCATAAGTGAGAGCAATATCGGACTTTCCGGGCGCAGCGTTTGGTCCCATAGAAGTAGCGTTTACTATAAGTGCCGGCAATTTATACTCTGGTTTGCCGTCAGCTCTGTATTTATCCGAAGACAATGACTCCATAATAAGTTTTGCTGTCTTTAAGTACTTCTCATTCTTCGTGAACCCGAAGAGCTCGAAAAGACCCGACGCGGCGACGGCTGCCGACGAGGAGTCCCGAGGAATGTACGGATACTTATCGTGAGGGACATCGAAATCCCAGGGCGCTATGCCGTCCTCCGGCAAATGGCTTATGTAATATTGAGCCAAATTCTCGGCCGCCTCTAAGAAGTGCTTTTGTTTTGTATATCTATAAGTGGTTGTGAATCCATTCACAAGCCATGCCTGTCCTCTTGCCCAGGTTGATGAGTTGTTATAGCCCTGACCCTGGAGTCTACTTATGACAGCACCGGTGGTATGGTTGAAATCTACGATATGATAACTACTGTAGTCTTTGCGGACGTGCTCTTTGAGAGTACGGTTGGCGTGAGTGACAGCGATATCATAGAGGGTTTCATTGCCCGTATGTTTCCAGCCCTCGAATAGTAGCTCCAAATTCATCATATTGTCCACTATTACCAGGAAATCTCCCTTTTGGTTGGCATCGAAAGGGCTACTGTTCCACGACCTGATGCAACCGACTTTTGCTATTTAATAAACACAAAGTTTTATAGTAGCTCCAAATTCATCATATTATCCACTATTACCAGGAAATCTCCCTTTTGGTTGGCATCGAAAGGGCTACTGTCCCACGACCTGATGCAACCGACTTTTGCTATTTAATAAACACAAAGTTTTAATAATTATTTCTTACAACAAACCACATTCATATTTACGGCTAAATCTTGTGGCCAAATTGTGTGCGGCAGTAACTATCACTTTAGGGTAGGTATCATTCTGTGTGAACTCATATCCCTTTCCAAATGAGCACATTATCATAAAGCCAATGTCGTGAGAGTCTGTCTTAAACTGGTCATCAAACACCCCATCCGTGGCTTTAATCGCTAATTGTTTCCAATTATCACTTTTTGTATAGTTATATAAATACCAGAGAACTCCAGGATAAAAGCCGGCCGTCCACTGACCCTTAACACCGGGTGTTGTATTCCATTTGGCAGATATGGGACTACCGTCAGACGGATACTGTATTCCGATTTTAAGAGTTATGTCTAATTTAGTGTATTGTTTGACAGAGTAATCAATTAATTGTTTTCTGTCTAAACCGCATACACATTGGGTTACAAAGAATACAATAATCGCAAAATAAAATAACATTTTTCTAAACACTTAACTGTAAATCAATCACTGAATAAGACTAATAATCACTTATACAATAAAATACAATGCATTTATGTTTGCAAATATTTATAGTAATCTAGAGTTTTATAATGTGCTGAGATACTGGTTAACAGAAAATGTAGCATTTAAAAATGTGTGTAAATATAAAAATAATTTGTATTCATTTTAGTTAATTTAAGTTATCAGTTAATCAGATGTTGTTTTCCGACTTACTTGTTATAATAGTATACATGTACTGGTGCCAATTCTTACATTTAGTTTTATCATTTTCTTCATACAATCAACAACTTCATACTAAACATATGATTATCTTTTTAATTCAATTATTATTATGAATTATCAATTAATTTAGCCAAACTATTAGTAAATTAAAACTTATATTAATATTTGCTATTCTTATTGATTATAAGGATTCCATTCAAACATTTAAAATATCAGAAATATTGATTAAGAGCAAACAAAATGTGAGAAAATACATATAAAATGAATATAATTACTGATTGTTTATCACGGGTAACTTATCAGTTTCTTTACCAAAAACTTTTATTCAAATTGTAAAAACATTTATAATTAATGGTAAATGTAATCCTAGCACACATTGTAATCTAAATAATATGATAAGAATCAAGGTATATATTCTTATCATTCATACATACATGATTACTTATCTTATTATATATTATTTTTGTCATTTAAATGTTTAGATATTTTTAATTAGAATTACATGAATGAATAACAAATTTAACTCTAAATAAGGTACTGTATTATCATTAAATTAATGGACACCTCAATTAAAGTAATTAAAAGCTTTAATATAGTAATAATCTCCAAAAATTTTAGCCATGTCGTAATTATCTCTGCCAGTACTTCCGTTCACAATTAGCGCCGGTATTTTGTACTCCGGTTTGCCATCAGCTCTGTATTGACTAGAATTCAATGAATCCATGATTTTATTGAAAGCATTCAAATATTTCGTATTATTTGTGAATCCAAAGAGCTCTATGAGTCCGGACGCGGCTAATAATTATTTATAAATAAAAATACAAAATTTGTTAAAGTGTTTCAAATAAATAGTGATTTTCAACTCAAACCTGTCGATGCGGCCGAACTGTCTCTATGAATGTAGGGATGGATGGGATCGTGGGGTACATCGAAGTCCCACAACGGTATGCCATCGGCCGGAGCCTTGTCTATGAAATAGTTGGACACACCTTCGGCTGCCTTTAGGATGTAATCGGCTTTTGTATATCTGTAGGCAATGGTGAGTCCGGCCACCAGGAAGGCCTGTCCCAGACTCCAACACGACCAGTCAGCATATCCGGTGGCCGTGTATTTGCGGATCACTTGACCAGTCGATGGATTGAATGAAACGACGTGGAAGTGCGAGTAGTCTTTCCTCAGGTGCTCTCTTATGGTGACATTTGTATGGGAGACCGCCATATCGTACAGAGTCTTATTGCCAGAATGCTTCCAACCCTCGAATAGTAGCTCCAGATTCATCATATTGTCCACTATTACCAGAAACTCGTTGGGATTGGGGGTATCCCACGATTTGGTGCACCCGACATTGTCTTATTTGTTATAAATACATTTATTTAGACATTGTTTTTGTCAAAACAAATATTTTTAAAAACACTTACGATTAAAGCGTTTGGCAAAATGGTTGGCCGCGTTTACTATAATTTTCGGGTAATTAGGGTTTTTGGTGAACTCGTATCCATTGCCATAGGAGCCCATTATCATGAAGCCGATGTCGTGTTGCCATGTGTTGAACTGGTCGTTATACATGGCGTCGGTAGCAGTTGTGGCCAATTGTTTCCACTCATCACTCTTTGTATAGTTATAGAGATGCCAGAGAACCCCCGGATAAAAGCCGGCCGTCCACTGGTTGTCCACGGGTGGGGTTGTCTCCCAGTGGTCCGACCCTGTCTT